ATGCCACCCAGGCCTCTAGTGCACAGGCTGGGCATCAGGAAGGAGTCCTTAAAATAATCTCATAGGGCAGCAAGCACGTGTTGCTTTCTTCCAGTTACCAACCCCTGTCCGATGCGAGACCCCAGTCAGACCAGATGTGGCACGTATTACAGCTCCTCTAGCCATTCACCTCCAGGACCGGCCACATACGGCATCCCCTTCACCTTGGTTAATTCTACTGAAAAGGAGTCACCACCACCAGCCCCAGGCAGCAAGCCGGAGGGCTACACCTATCCCTCCCTTCCTTACCCAAAGAGGGTCTCCTTTCAAAGGTCCTGTCATGGCCAGGAACAGGGGCTGCTGCAGAAGAGCAAAGAGGGCGCTGACCAAAGACTGCAGTCCCGTCAGGCTGCCAAACTGGGTGGATGGATACCTGTCAAGACAGAAAGCAGCACTGTTACCTATGTGTCACCCTGACTCCTCCATGCTAGTCGGGACATTGCTCTGGGCCCCTGCCCCAGCTCATCATCCGTGCAGTGCTTGGCACCAGGCATCCCTTTCTCCGGGGAACGTGAAGGCAGAGCTCAGGACAGCTGCACTCCTGATCTAAATGTCACTCTTTGCTCACATGGTCATCTTCCTGAACACACAGAAGGAGCATGTGCAGGGATAAATGCCCCACTTTGCATATTCTCAGCCCAAGTTCTCAGACTCAGGTGTGCTTCTTGCTTGGACAATGGACTGCTCCAGGCTTTAATAAACCAAGACCTGTTTGAAGCACAGGACACCATGGTACTGGAGCCCAGCTCAGCTGCCTTGTACGACACCATGGGGAACAGTGCTCGGGCCCAGAGAAAACAAACCAACCACACAAGCGGTAGAAGTGACTTGGTCTAAACTAGAGAACTGAGAAAAGGAATGACCTTCAGAAAACAGCCTCCGTCTGGCCCACCAGACACGCTGGGCTGCTCAATGCTTGGGGCTGGGCCATCACTTCCATTCCCACAGCACTTTCTCTCAAGTCACAGAAAGCCGGTGTGTGTTAACATGTGCCGGCCGCACTTCCTCCTTGGGGACAAGTCTGTTCCCATATCAAATTAAACCATCTTGATTGGAAAGTGCTGAGTAGCAGATATTATTAATGGAAAACAAGTCTCAGGACCAAATTAATAAGGCCTTTGTCTGCCCATCATTGTGCAGCATTTAAATTAGTCCCTCAGCATTCACCTGCCCTATTTCTAACTCCTTCCCGACATGCAGGAGAGAGAAGTTACCGATCCTTCTGGATCTCAGTTTAAGAACTCACAGCCCAGGAAACACATCTGCCCATCACAAGCAAATCGAGCGTTTTGGAAGAGAACATGGAAGTTGTTCCAAGAAAACTTTTACATTGTAGATGCAGAATAAATTATGCATCCGGGAAAAAATGTGCAGGTTTCGTGAACTCTATCTTGAGCAATGCTCCAACAAGCTGATAAATATCTAGAAATTTTAGCCACATTCAAGCTTTTTATGCTACAAGCTAGGGAGAGCCTGTGTAGGACCCAGCCTCCCACCCAAGTGCCACACCATATACAGCTGTGCTCGCTTCAGCGCAGAAATGATGCAAATAGGGCCAGCGTCACATAAGTAAGGAAGAGGGACGACTGGTACCCAGCAGTCCTGCTGCTGCCGCATCCCGCAGGTACCCCACAACTGATGGGCCGACTTCGTTGTCCCTTCTGACAGGAATCCCTCCCTGTGGCACAGCCACTCCCACCCAGGCAGCTTGGGGAATCCAACCTGCAGGGCAGCCACACGCATGTGAGCATGGACAGACTTACACAGCTGCATAGAGGCCTCCCACTGCCGAGTGGATGAACCCCCTCACAACTGTGTGCAAAATGAAGGAGAGGATCTGAAAGAGAAGCAGAAAAAAGGCCGTGCTGAGTGCCAGTCCAGGAACGCTGCTCCACTGCCACACTGGGATCTGCGCCTCCCTCCGGCACAAGGGCAGGCTCAGGTAGCTGCTTCCACCAGCAGAGTCGAACCTTCCTGGGGCAAGGCAGGGTGAGAAGTGCGGCTTATGCAGAGACACAGGCCACTCTACAAAGGCAGTGTTTTACTGCGGGGTAACCACCATGTACCAGCTCTGCCAAGGTGAAAACACAAGGAGAACCAGAGACCCTGCGCTCGTCTCCCATGAAGCCAATCACCATGCGCCCAAAAGATCATCAGCATCCCCCTGTGCCATGGAGGGGAGAATGCTCAAATTTGGAAGCGTGAGCTTTGAAAGTGCCTTATGCAGAGGAGCATGGGAATCACCGGCTGCCAACTACATAGCCAGCATGGACTCGGTCCCAGGGGCTTCCTTTGGGTTTGGATAATGCTTAAAAAAATTAACACATGCAAAGCCCTCCACCTCTTCCCTCCAGTCAGAGCAGAGGTCCTGGGTCGGCACTGCTCCCAGCTCTACAGCAACACTGGAGAACAGCCTGCCAGGAGGTGGTTTCCCGTCTCGGTGCTAGAACACAGACACACACCCTCTCGGCACTGTGCCCCATTGCAGCTCTTCTGCTCCCGAGAGCCTGCCCGACCCCCAGCTGGCCCCTGCAGAGCAAACGCTGCTGTTCCAAAGGTGCAGAGCACCGGGGGTTCATGTGGCCGAGCCCCGGCACCAGGACTGGAGACGCTGGAGAACACGGACAGGAAGACCTGCCTACTCCTGGCTTTGCCCGACTCGCTCACTCCTGACTGGAAAGTCTCCAGATGGGTGTTCAGGTCCCCGGAGAAGGTGCCCCGGTTCAGTTGGTCCCCTCCCCTCCCTCGCGTGTGTTTTCCTGACAACACCTCATTCCTCCCCCTGCAGAAGTGGTGCTAGAAGCCAAATGTTTCAAGTGCATCCCCCCCCAGTGCCACTGGGTGGGAGCAGGCACCACTAAACGCACGCGTGGCTGGAACAGGCACCACGGGGACTCCGTGTTGCAGCTCTCCACAGTCCCTGCTTACCTGGAGCTCAAGCCTAGAAGAGCCAGGCAGCACCAGAGAATGGGGGAGGAGAGTGTCACTATGCCTTGCACTTGTGAAGCAAGGCCTGAAAACAGGGGTGGATTGTGAAACAGTTTTGACACCTGCCCAAGTCGACAGACAGCCCAAGCAACAGCTTCAGGAGGTGCGAGCGGCGCTGTTCTTGCCACTGCACGGAGTCCAACCGCCTGCTCCAGGAGCCCCGTCCAGGACCAGCCCAGCAGGACCCGGTCCAGGGACCTCTGTGGCCCCCAGCCCTTCCCCACTGCTGGCTGGGGCAAACTGAATAGCGAGCCTCAAGATACGTGCCATGTCCCGAGGGTCCGGCTTCCAGGCTGAGGCCAGGATGAAGCTCTTGGGCTCGGTTTCAAACAGAAGCTTCTAGCTCTGCTTCTCATGGAGAACGCAAGGGCAAGTGGCTATTTCCCCCAGTGCCTGGCATGGGCAAGGCGGCTGCACCCTGCGTCTGCTGGGGGAGGGGGTGGGCAGGCTGCAGGCAAAAGGCAGCAGAGGGCCAGGTTCCCCCTCCCACCTAGCAGACCCCACTTGTCTGAGGAGACGATGCTGGGTTAGGAGAGGGAAAGGAGGGATGCAGAGAAGCACCCCACAGGAAACAGCTGCTTATGGATGTCCACCCATGCTAGGGAGAAGCAGAGCCCAGTGCAGCCCCATGGCTGTGGGGCCTTGCTTTGCTCTGTACTAATAAGCAATTTGGTCAGAGTTTTCATGCTCCAGTGCCCCATTGCCCTCAAATACCCACCTGCAGCTCCAGGTTCGGGATGAGACAGGTAACCCCAAATCCGACCAGCAGCAGGTTGGTGAAGGCAAAGGCTCTAGTGGCATTGGAGACCTTCTGAATCTGGCGGTCGCCTTTTTTTTTCTTCTTGCCACCTCTGAAGGGAGAGCAAGGAACGCATCACAGCGGCCTCTGCGGCAGTGACTGACTCTTGGGGAGAAGCCCAAGTGCTAGCAGGCTACACAAGCAACCCAAAACCTCTTGCCCAGCCCAGACTTCTACTTGAGCCTAGAAGTGGCACCTTTGATTGTAAGGGACTAGCCCAGTCAATCCTGTTGAACAAGAGGTTCAATAAGGACAAGTGCAAAGTCCTGCACTTAGGACAAACAATCCCAATGCACCGGTGCAGGCTGGGGGGAACAGGCTGGGCAGCAGCTCTGCAGAAAAGGACCTAGGGGGACAGGGGACAAGAAGCTGGATACGAGCCAGCAGTGTGCCCTTGGTGCCAGGAAGGCTAAGGGCATCCCGGGCTGCATCGGTAGGTGTGTTGTCAGCAGAGCAAGGGCAGTGATTCTTCCCTCTGTTCAGCACTGGGGAGGCCACATCTGGAGTCCTGTGTCCAGTGGTGACACCCGCACTGCAGACAGGATGTGGACACACTGGCGAGAGTCCAGCAGAGGGCAATGAAAATGGCTCGGGAGCTGGGGGACATGACTTTCAAGGAAAGACTGGGGGAACTGGGCTGATTTAGTTTGGAGACAAGAAGACTGCGGGGGGATTGAATAGCAGCCTTCAGCTCCCTGCAGGGGGGCTGCAAAGAGGATGGAGCTGGACTGTTCTCAGTGGGGGCAGATGACGGAAGGAGCAATGGGCTCAAGCTGCAGCAAGGGAAGTTGAGGTTAGATATTAGGAATACACTCTCACTAGGAGGGTAGTAAAGCACTGGAACAGGTTATCCAGAGCAGTGGTGGAGTCTCCATCCTTGGAGGTTTTGAAGACGTGGCTAGACAAAGCCTTGGCTGGGGTGATGTAGCTGGGGCTGGTCCTGCTTGGAGCAGGGGGTCGAACTAGATGGGACCTCCTGAGCTCCCTTCCGCCCGCGCTGTCAACAATTCTCAGGTCTGTGCGGGCTCACTCAGTGCAAGCTGGAAAGGGTCAACATTAACTGAGCTCAGCTCCGCAGCCTTGCAACTGAACCCTGCCATCTGTGCTACGTACAGCTTCGCATCAGTCTCCTCGCTCTCTTCAGGGCTATCGTCGCACTCCTTCAGCTTCCAGTCCATGATGTATCCGATCACCGGGGCCGTCATCAGGCAGAGCAACTGCAAAACCCCGAAGATGGAGGTGTAGAGACTCACTGCAGAGGAAAAGAGCATGTCAGTGCCAAAGGGGCCCAGAGCAGGGCCAGCCATCACCCGGTCACTTCCTCCCTCTGCTGAGGCTGCTCGGTGGCCTGGGTCTAGCAAGGCAAGGGCCGACCGAGGCCCCTTCCCACTTCAGTCCCAGCATGCAGCAGGACTGGAGCAAGTGTGCGACTCGTGTCCGCACCAGCCACGGTGCGGCTGCTGCTCCGGCACCGAGCATCAGGCCAGCAGGCACCAGGTCCCAGAGGGATGGCACCTGGCGAGGGGGAGGATCCCTCAGGGCAGTCAGAAGGACAGCGATCAGCAGGGCCTGGCAGCTCCTGCTCTGCTCAGTCACCCACGCTGGTGTCAGGAACACGGTTAAGGAGGGGAGGGCGCTGAACCAGCAAAGGGTCAGTCAGTGCTCCTGACAGGGACCCATGCCCTTGGCACTGCTACCACAGCCTCCCCCCACCCTGAGACGGGTAGCTTCACACATCTGCTGCAGACAGACTCTGCAGCAGTCAGTCGGGCTGCAGGGAGAACGGGAACGTTAGACATGCAAGACCCCCGGCTTACCAGTGGCCATCACTGTACCAGGAAGGCAAGACAGCAGAGCAGCAAGAAAGCAAGTAAGAGAAAGCAGAGGTTAGCAGCAGGAACGCTGAGACAGACCAAGGCAGACTGCATGCAGCCCAGAGCTGCCACCAGCTGCCCCCCGCCCCGGGCCATGGTGGAGCCCCCAGCTGACTGTGGGAGAGCTGGGCAGGGCCGGGGTGGAAATGCCACTGCCCCGAGAACTGGCGTGTCAGACTTCTCCCTAACACGTTTTCCACTTCCCCTCATCTCACATGACATGGGTTCGTGCCTCAGCCCAAGTGCAGGGAGTGAATCAGAGTCCAAGCAAAGCAAGTCTGGAATACGAATGTGCTCGTCTCAGCACTGAGCCCACACGCTTGTAACACCGCAACCAGAACAGGACTGAGAAGGACCTGGTCCCTTCCTTCCTCATCTCTCCAGTGTGTCTGCAATGCAGCAGGAAACAAGCCCACAGGGTCACCCCTAATCCTCACTGGCCGTGGGGTTTGGATCAAGAGTGAAGAAACTGAGGAGGGGGCAAGACCTTGTTCTCCACAGCAAACGCAGGGCCATGCAGGCAGACAGACTGGCCCCTGGCTTGAAAAGTTGCCTTCTCCTATCTCATGACCTCCTCCCCTACAGGGAGGCTCCCAGTAGGCAGAGCAGTTCTTCGGGGTGGGGTGGCAGAGGTCTCTGGCGGTGCGCACACAGACACCTGCACGCTTCCGGTGTTGCCTCCTTTAGCTGCAAGCTCCCCAGGGCAGGGAACATGCACATCGGTGCCTGTCCAGCACCAAGTGCCAAGGGACCTGATCCTGCCTGGTGCCCGGGATGCTGCCGTGGCCTGGTTGTTGTAGGCAGACAACACAGAGAGTATAAGCAGCAGACTTTGCTTGGCAATGCCGTTTATGGGATCACCTACCCAGTTGCAAAAGATGTCAGACAAGATTTTTGGCACATCTCTCCCAGGTACTCAGCTGGCCCAATAATAGGGTTTGCCAGAAGCAGCCTGCTTCTTCCATAAGACTGGAAGGTGAGGCACAGGTAAACACCCTGGGGGGGAAGGCGGAGTGGAGAGTGGACAGCAGGATTAGGCAGTCCTTTAATATGTAAACACCTCCCGGAAGCGCTTATCTTTTAAAGATAAGCCGTGTCAATCCTCAGCTTCGTCCCACCAGGGCCAGGCCTGGATCCCTACACCACAAACACCTACCCAGCCCTCTGGGAGCCAGGCACCACAGCCCAAGACGGCTCTCCTGTTCCAGCTTCCCTCCGCCACCCCTTCTCCTGCTCTAGCCCCAAAGAAACCTTGACGTTCCTCTTGCCCCCGACAACATGGTGAGAGCCACTCAGCCCTCTCCTTACCCAGCTCAGTGCTGGCGAGTGGTACCAGGGAGCAGCACCAGAACGGAGCAGCCCCTCAAAGGGTTCAGAGCAGGGGCGAAGGTCTGACCCTTCCCTCCGCCCTTTAAAGCAGATTTCTGCAGGTCGGCGTGCAGACAAAAGCGCCACGGCCCAGAGTGCCAAGACTTGAGACCATTCTTCTGCTTCCCTGATACCATGGAAACTAAGGCAGAGCCTAGCACAGCGAGCCCCAGCTGCACGGGGGGAAATCTAGAAATAGATGCCAGCCTGTTTGAGCCTGATCTCATCCCTCCAGCCACAGCCGGGTGCTGGTCAGACTCATAGCAAGAGAACAAGAACAGTCCCCAACACTAACCCCAGTGGAGGACAAAACCAGAGCAAACCCAGAGCAAAATGGCAGCAAGGTGGAGGACAGCAGAAGGGTAAGACAGTGGTGAGGAGGGGACCAGACCCCAGCTGGGCAAGGGCTCCCACCCTGGGGCTTGTCCTGTTTACTGCTTCAGACCGGCCTCTTGACCCGGGAGGTAAAGGGCCGAGCGCGCCGGCTGTCGAGCACTTGACAAAAGGAACAACGCGATCCCTGGAGCACCGGGCAGGGGCCCCCCCTCCTCCAGCGCCTGCTCTTGTTTTCCAGAGAGGCTTCTTGATTTATCAGCCTCGCGCAATCCAGATTTAACAAGTCTAAACTGGATCTCACTACTCAGAAATGGGCTTTGCCTTGTTTTGCAATTCAGGGTATTTTCAACAGCAGCAAACTAATGTACTCTTTCCTGTTTGCTTTGTTCACTGAATCAGGAGCTATAAATACAGGCAGACGCTGCCACAGCCTTCCAGACGCAAGACTGCCATGACATCATTTCCCCTCCGCGCTTTCAGCTGAGTTACTGCAAATTCTGGCCCTTGACCCCCAGCAGCTGAAGTCAGCTGCTCTCCCTTCTGTGCTTGAGATAAAGATCACCGATAACAGGTTTTCCCATGGACGAGCGTTGCATTAGCATGGCCCTCCCTGACCTGCCAAACTCAGTCACCCCTGTCTGGGGACACAATGTGGGACAGCATTAACAGAAACCTCATTATAATTAGCTTGACATTCAAGTGTTCACCTTGCTGCCCCTCTGCTTTTGGCAGGTCTCAGCCGCCCGCCAGACCGTGACACCAGCTGCCGGTGGCCGTCACGACCGCCTGACCAGCCAGCCCGGGCTAGGCCAGGAACAGACTGGCGCCTGCAGACTAACAAGCAGCCCGAGAAGCAGAGGACCCTGCCCTGCCTGTGCTCCCAGGGAAGCAGCGAGAAGTCTCCGCCGCAGCCTACCTTGCTCCTGGTCTCCATCCACGAGGAACTCCAGGATGTTGTTCATGGCGCCCATGTAGAAGATGAGGCGCAGCTGAGTGACGCACATGGTAACGAGGCTGAGCAGCAGGATAGGGCTGAAGACGCTGTGCATGAATGACGCAGAGGCTGCAGGAGACAGGGCCAGGGCCGTGAGTCTTTGCCGGGGCAGGCCCCCGACCGCCCTCCCCCCGGACCAGGATGACCTCACAACAGTGTGCTGCTACCCTATACCCAGCACAACAGCCCACGGGGCCAGAGCCAGCGGCTACCCAGTGCATTTCGGCCTCTTGAAGCTCAGCAGAGGGGAAGAAAACAAGCACCTGTCAGCACTGAGCAGGCCCAACTCCGGTTACCAGAGAAGTCCGGGTGAATCCAGGGCATCAACAACAAGGCAGAAGGGAACCTGAGTCACTGGCCTTGACCCAGTTCCTGGGGAGTCCACCCAGCCGCTCGCAGCTGCAGCAGCCTCCTTCAGCAAAACCTGTTCCTACGCCAGGTCTTTCTGGCCTGCGGGCTCCCATGCAGAGCCAACCACTGAGCACCTGCGTGTGCCCGGGGTCCACTCGACCTACACTTACTGGACACTCAGGGGGGCCCACAGACAGGCACTTCCCCCTGCAGAGGGGCATGCACACACACAGCTCCTGTTCCAGGGCCCAAGGGACATGCAAGCCATACACCAATCCTGGGGTGGCCCCTGCCCGGTGATGAATATGCAGACCCGGGGGACGGTACCTGCATTATCTGGCTGACACTTCACTTCCAGGTCCACCGTCGACAGGCAGAGCTTGTTACCATCTTGCAAGGCTGCCAGCTCCTTGGGGCTCTTCATGGAGCTCCCCACGCTGAGCCGACGCCCCACCGTAGTCACCTGCTTGTAGAACTGTTTTCCTGTGATTTTGTGGTCAAATCCCAGCCAGCTGAACTTGATCTTCACCCTGTTTGGCGACAGGAAGAGGGAGAGCGCTGCAATGTGGGGCCGAGGTCTGCAGGCACACCTAAGGCACTGCAGTCGTGGGAGGCTTCCCAGAGCACTTGGTGGATGTCCAGGAAGAGGCAGAGACCTAAGGAACCCCAAGCACCTGGCCCGGGCCACCCCAGGGACACGCTACACTACACCCTCTGCCACCTGCCAGACCAGCCGCGATGCTCAGCAGGCACCACAGAAATCCACACAAGGACCCACAGAACCGTGGCTCTGCCTGGCAGAGAAGCCCTGGACTCCAGGAGAGGCCCTGCCTTGACCAGCCAGAGTCACACTCCCCGGGACAGACCCCTCACAAACAGATACCACCTCCCTCCTCAGATGGGAAGTCAGCCACCAATTGCTGTCCTCTGGAGCGGCTGGCGCTGGCACTCGCTAGAGGGGATAAAGACCTGCAGGGTCTCTGGCTGGGTCCGGGCTAGCAATGACTACGAGCACGGGATGGTGGTACTTACGTGTAGTCCATGTCTTCCGGCCCTGGGAAGGGCTCCAGGGGCCAGTTGAAGAAGCAGTTGAAGAACACTAGCCCAGCACAGCATGCCCAAACTGTCAGGATGAGGATGAAGGAGAAGCCAAAGTCATATATAACCTGGAGAGACAAGAAGATCGTCGTTAGAAGACAGAATGACTGGATGCTTTCATACTCTGCAAGCGAATCTGAAGGGAATGGCTGGGGGGGTGGACTTAAAGAAGAGAAGCCAAAGTCATATATAACCTGGAGAGACAAGAAGATCGTCGTTAGAAGACAGAATGACTGGATGCTTTCATACTCTGCAAGCGAATCTGAAGGGAATGGCTGGGGTGGTGGACTTAAGGACAGGGCTGCATGGTGACGAAGGGCATACCCAGGGGATGGGAGGAGGGTGGAGGAATGTGACGATGCAGCCTGTGAGCACAGCTACACTTGGCATGAGTTTGTGCACACATCTTCCCCCTCAGCTACAAGAGGAGCAGCCCCTGCTGCAACCGATGCCCGGCAGGGTTAACAGCAAGGCAGCCTTCCAAGAGCGGCCTGCTAAAATTTTCCTGCAGGGCTGGAGACCATCACTGGATCCCCCCACAGCCTGGGACTCATCACCGCCATGGGAGCCTTGCACTGTAGCACCCACATCCACACGTGAGCAGGAAGCAAGGGCTCCCCCGTGGGGCTCTCCACAAGGCTCCGGCCTGCCTCGCAGTCTGGAGGGGGCTGCCCGGTCAGAGCCCACGCTGCAGCTCTGCTATGCTCCCAGCAGCTCCAGGATTACCGCTGTTCTGACTTAGCGACTCTGGGGACGGGTGGGCAGGAGGGAAGGGAATTCCTTGTCACACAAGACGAGGGGGAATAACTGTGAACACAGCGATCCCCTGACTGGGATTTTCCCCTGCAGCCGCCTCACAGCTTACACAAAGCACCTGGGCAAGCTTTAGGGCTCCCAGCGGAAGGTGTTGCTGGAGGCCCTGGTCATCACAGTGCGGAGAACAGCACGGCTTTAGCCACATGGTCTCTATGCCTCAGGAGGCAGCGGGGGGCTGCCATGACCATCTCACGGTGACTCAATGGCAAAGCGCAGCAGGTCCCGCGCAGCCAGGGCTAAGTGCTGCGACTGCTTTGCTACTGCAGGAGCCCCAGACGTGGCCACCTGACTGCAAGGCACGCCTTCCAGAGCCCAGGCTCCACATCCTCACCTTGATCCCTGGGAATGTAACAGCAGACGAAGCGTAGGAGCCAATCATCAGCGCGATGAACGTGGAGCGCAGGTCGCCGAACATGTTGGGCAGCTGCAGGGAAGAGAAAGAGCTGGCTGAAAGCCACAGCAGGAGGGAAGCTGTGCGTGGCCCCGGCCCCCAGACTTCAGCCTCCGCATCTCGGCAGTGGCAGAAGCCGCCTGCTACTGCAAACAGCCTGGCTTTGCACCCCAGCCCCCTGGGCCGCAGGGAGACTCGGCTCGGCTCTCCCCCCCAGCGCTCCTTACCCCAGTGGTCAGAGAACCGGGCACGTATTGCAGTGGAAAGGGGACCCTTGCCCATGAAAGGAGCGTGCAGATGGTCTCCCCACCGTGGCCGCCTCCTGGAGCGGGCTCGGCCCTTACCTTGCCTTTGGCTGCAAGTTACCTTCCACGTAGCAGCATGTGGGTCCCTCCCCTCCCCTCCCCATGGCTGCGGCCACCAGCTTTCCTCTACCCCACTCCGAACACTACAGGCCCGTCCTATCTGCAGCAGTCGCCCCTTTTCCAGTTCGCAGATGCCTGCTGGCAGACAAGCCCGTCCCCACCCACGGGACACCCCATTCTCTGCCTGGGTCCTGCTCCCAGACTTGGGGGTGGGAGACAAGCCTCGCATGTCACCCGGTCTGCGCGGGCAAGCAAAGATGCCACAGAGGTCAACTCAGGAAAGACCTGACGTGCAGGGCAGAGGTGTCTGCCCAGGCCTGGCTCCCGCCCCCAGTATTTCAGGTGCAAGGGAGACCTGCCTCACTTAGCGAGTTGCACGCATGCCCGATGGCCCCAGCACCCGAGGCACAGGTCGCGGGCCAGGCCAGGGGCAGCGGGTTCAGTCACTGCGGGGCAGCAGCCAGAGCGCTGCCAGACGCCGAGGCTGGCCAGCTGCCCTCCGCTCAGAAGGGCCCGCGCAGAGCACAGCCAGAGCGGCCTGTAGCGGGGCGGGCCCAGCCCTCGTGTCGAGCAGAGGGACGCCGCCCTCGCCTGCTAGTCTGTGCGGGCAGATTCCCGAGGGAGCCGCTGGGGTCGGGGCTGCAGGAGTCTCCGAAACCAGCGCTTGCAGGAGCCTGTGCCAGGCAAAACGCTGCCTCCACGTGCAGCTGAGCCAGCTCAGGTGCTAACGGCAGCGCCCGCAGCAGACCCCGCAGCTCCTACGGCAAAGACCGAGTGCCGCGCCCCCTTCACCCGCTGCCTCGTACTCTCGCAAGCAAGTCAGACTAATGCAGAAAAGACAGCGTGCCAGGCACGGTGGGGCTGGGAACTGGGGGCAGCACGTTTCCGCTCTGCAGCGCTGTGGTACGTGCATCTCCGGCAGGAGCGCCCACTTTGCCTGGCTCGGCTTAGTCACTGCTGCCTCGCTGCAGAGCCGAGCTCCACATGCGGCACAGCCTCCAGGTCCTCATATAACCCCGGAGCAGAAGCAGAAGCAGAAGCAGAAGCAGCAGCGATGACGTGCGGAGACCGGCAAGTCTTCTGGGGAATCCCGAGGGAGCCGGGCAGCAGCAGCAGCCAGGCAAACCCACACCCGATATCTGCACCCAGGCTGGCTGCCGAGGTGCCTCGCACTGCCGCAGACGGGGGTCTGAAGCCGCTTACCAGGCAGAGCTGTCCCCTTTGCATGCAGCAACCGGCATCCACCCCCTGGCGCGGCGCCTGCCCCGCCGTAACCCCCACACGCTGCTCTAAGGGGCTGGTCCTTATCACCAGGCAGAGTTCAGCTGTTTACCCAGCTTCAGAAACAGCCGGATCCCAACTAAATCCTCCGTGACAGCCACAACAGCAGCTGCTGCGGTGGAACCAACGCCAGGGCTCCCCACACACACAGCTGCTGCGCAGCTTGGCTCTCTCGAGGCCACAAAGGGCCCTTCACACAGCGGGAGCCAGACCGCAGCCAGGTGACCTTCCAGCCAGGGCTGGTGAGATGTCTAGTGGCAGAGCTGCAGCCCTGCCCCGAGAGCGAGGGCTGCACGAGGGCCATTTCGGGAAAGCCCAGGTGCCCCAGAGACCGCAGCACCCGTGTCAGTACCAAGCAAGAGCTGGGCACATGGTGGGTGCGATCAGAGGAGCTCCCACGGCATGGCCAGCCCTGGCCACGCACCTGCATCTGTGGCCATTTGAAAGAGGTCTGCTCCTAGGAGGAAACCCCCCTGAAGGAGCCAGGAATTCACATCCGGCTTCCTCAGAGGCTCTGCTGACCCCGGGGCTGCCGGCTCATGGCATGTGGCTCTGCACGCAAACATGCACAGGGATCATGCAAGGACCTTGGCTTTTGCAGCTGACTGGGAGGTCATTTTTTCAGGTCTCGCAGTTGGAGCAAGAGCTCAAACAGAAGGCACAGAAAGCCAAAGGACACGGGCCCCCGATGCACTGCTCTTCTGTTGGGATGGTGAGACCAGGAGCTGCCACGGCACTTGCATCTGACCTGCATCCAGCTCAGAACATCTGGCAGAGCCCGAGCAGCTCCCTTGCAAACATCCGACCCAGCTTCCCAAACGCTGCTGCTGGCCAGTCCTGGGCCGGCTGCTTCTAGGGTCACCTGCGCTTCTGAGTGGACAGACTTTGTCCTGCCACAGCCCCAGCTGCTGCCTCTGGTGATCTGGAGAATGAGAGACTGAAGAGCCTCCAGCCGCAGAGGCGCTGCCCCACAGGGGGATCGACCCTGAGAAGAAGATTCATCTTCCCTGGTCTTTCACCTCGCAAGGGGCCTTTGCAGCCCCGAGTCATTCCTCTCGCTGTCTCCCACCCTTCGAGACGCAATCCCCGCTCTGCGTGGGGGCGTGCGATGGAGAAACCCCGCTGGAAGCCTGCTGAGAGCTTGGGGCTACAACACCGGGACTTCTGCAGGGAAGGGCTGGTTTTAAAACAGAGACAGATGAGCCCCGGCCCACTGGGGGCACCAGGCTCCAGGAGGAAGCCCCACAAAGCTGTAGCCGTAGAGGAGTTTTTTGTTCTGCGAGTGTCGTGACCCTGCCGTTTCCTGACAGCAGCTGCCTCGCGCAGACTCTCCGCAGGAGCATCCTCCCGCGCAGGCGGCGGGGCCGGCAGGCCACGGGCCCGGGCTCCGCTCCCGCAGGAACACCGGGCTCCCGCGTTCCCAGCGAAGCCGCACGCTGCAGAGGGGCTGCGGAGGGCACCGGTTTGTTTTCCATCTCGCTCGCCTTGAAAACACGCAGCTGCTTTTCCCTGGCTCCCCGACGCTGCCGGCTGCAACCCATGAAAGGCTCTTTGTGGCCATTTATCACACGGGTATTCCCCTCCACAAAGCCATCTGGCTTCAGCCACCAGCCCCGATCCATTTGCTTTCACAAGTCTCCGTGTACATGAGCGAAGCCCATGGCGCTCCCGGGAACCCCGCCCGTGCTGTAGCACCAAACTCGGTCTGAGCCCCCCAGGCACCACCGCTGCCCCCAGCTGACCACGCGGGACCCCAGCAGGCACCCCCAAGCCTGCACCAACCTTGGCCCTCCGGGGTCCCTGGGCAGCCGCCGTCTCCTTCGTTATGCCCCAGGAAAGTGAACGGCACCCACGCTGCGCCAGACCCTGCCCCTCCACCCCCCATGCACATGCCAGCCCCTCATGCTGCTGGCAGGGAGGGCAAGCATCGCTTCCCCAGCCCCAGGGCATCTGACCCCGCCAGCCCCTGCTCCACACCCCAGGGCCAGCCAGTCTAGTGGCCACAAGCAGCCTCCCAGCCCCAGCACTGCCTGCGCTCCCCAAGCCCTGAGCAGCCACAGGGCACCCCTGCCTCGAGCCTGAGCAAGAGCCGGCCTCCCCTCCGCGGCCATCCTGCCCAGACGCAGCCAGTTCTGACCACACAAAACCGGTCCTGTGGCAGAGGGAACAGCCCAGCAGCTGGGCTGGTCACCGCAGCTGGCAGGGAGGTCACCTTGTCTGCGCTCCGGGACGTGCGAGCGAGTGCACGGGCAGTCGGGGCCTGCCTGGCCCAGAACAGACTCCTCTGGGCTTGTCGAGTTTGCTCCAGCTGGGAGCTGAGCTGCAGCACCTGGCCAGGCACCGAGCAGTGCTGGAGACCTTCAGGTCTCCTTCCTGTGCACTCGCTTCCTTCTGCCTCTGCGACTCCCTCCCCACGGCTTTGGGCACCTCCGAAGGGTGCAAGGTTCCCACCACGCCCGACCTGCGGGCATTGCTGGGAGGATCGCAGCTGCCTCCAGAGCATTCACGCCCACTTCTCCCTGCCCCAGAGCCACAGCAGGAAGGGCCCCACACCGGCTCTCTCCTGCCTTTGCGTGGGAGAGATTTCCTGCTCAGACCGCTGCTGAAGTCAGACCACCGCCGAGTTCCTGGGCCGTGCAAGGAAACAGCCTCACAGGCCCGAGGACACGTGCGATGCCAGGGCCTGGTCTGGGACATGGGGCCCACAGTCACGCTCCTGAGCTCCTGCTAAGATGTGCGGTTGTGCAGAGGAGCCCCGGGGGCTGCTGCTCGGGCACTGCTCTGCGTGTAGCTCCCCCCACAACCGTGAGCCCCGAGGCTCTGCCCCTCGGCCCCCAGCTGCTGTTCTGGCTTGCTGCTCCTGGCTCGTAAATGCCCCAAGACTCAGCAACGCCTACAGCACTTGCAGCCAGAGCCAGACAAGGCTTCCACCCTATGCCCTTCGTGGCATTTGAACGGGGAGCACCCATCCGTAACCAGCATACCTGCTACCCCAGCCCACGCCCCCCTGGCAGGGGGCAAAGGCGGCTCAGGGCGCAAACACCCCCCACTCCCGTTTGGCTTTCTTACTCTTTCCAAGCCCAGGATCCCCCATGAGCCCCTCCACATCAACCCCATCTCCTTCACGTCTCTGCTCCGCCGTTGCTCTCTGCAGCGACAGGACGAACTCTGGCCACGGGCTTCTCCCTCCCACGGCCACGGCTTGCCTCCCCGCCTCATCCTCCGTTTCCCACAGCTCTGTGGAGCAGGGGCCAGGGCTGAGGTTAGAGCCCATCTATGTACATCCATTACTGAGAGGCTTTGGCTCCACAGCTGTAAGGGCTGCGTGGCAGCTGCAAGGGCAGGCCACACACAGCCTCACCCTGCCTTTGCCCATCACCGCCTGTGGCTCCGTCTGTGCCCACCCCACGCCCGGTGAGAGACCAGCTCGGCAGCGGCACAAGAACAACCTGGGCCCAGCCCCGAGACGTTTTCCACCACTGCTGTGGGAGTCTCTTCTATTCCCTGAGCTGCTGGGAGAGCTCTCCAGCTCCAGCCGCACTGACAAGGATCAGGGTAATGAGGTGGAAAATGCTTTGAGAACGAGTCTGCTTCCATCTCCAAGCAACATGAGCCTCGAACGCAGAAGCCACCAACCGCGTCTGTGCACCGATCAATGGGCTAAGTCAACAGCCCCACGCCGGCAGCACAGATGGAGCCGGACATTTGGCAACACGGCTCTTCCGCAGACTGTCAGCACCGCGGAGGGACTCGCCTCTAGGAGAGGACAAAGCCTAGGGCCAAAGGCTCACGGCGGCAACCCTCCCACAACTGCGGCAGCAGCCACCTCAGCCAGCAGTGCAGCAACACAACCGCTCGCTAGCCGGGAGATTCACCTTCCCCCACAGCGCCTGCTTGCCTGCAGGACCCCGCGCCCCTGCCCCAGCCAGGCCCACACCTGGTGCAGCCACACGTGTGGCCAGCAGTGGCTCAGGGACAGCCGGCGAGCACCAGGCCTTCTAGGTGCAGAGCCAAAGGCAACCACCTGTCCACACCCCGGTAGGAAGGAGCGTGAATCCGCTCCAGGCAGCCAGGGCTGAGGACCCCTTTGCTTGCCTGGGCCACGTCTCGGCTCACCGACCCGCTGATCGGAAAGACAAGGCCCCTACCCGCAGCGCCCTGCCTGGGGTGGCACAGGGACACCAGGTGGCGGCGGCAGGGGCAAGGCTCTCTGCACTTACGGTGAGGGAGGTGAAGGTCATGCACATCCCGCCGAAGCCGTTCAGGGCCAGCGCGATGAAGATCAGCACTGACAGCGCTATGGGGGAAGACAAGAGCACTGACTGCCCGAGCTCCCACAGCCCCAGATCCCATCCCAGGAGCAACGCCTCGGCAACACTGGTGCCCCACTGGCTCGTGCTAGCTGCACACGTGCCCCCTACCCCGGGCGCACAGCTGGTTGGCAGGACAGGGACTCGGTCAGGCTGGGGTGCTTGCAGGGCCACAAGGCTACTGCCTCGGGGATGCGGCAGCCCAGGCAGGTCTCTACAGCTCCTGGTGGGTGCTATGGCCTGGGCACATGCCGTGGTCTTAAAGCCCCTCTGACCCCCTGCCTTCTGTGCACCTGAGCCCCCGAGGTCACACCAGCCCAGCCAGGTACTTACACTGTGGGTTGCTGGCTCCATATGCAATCAGCAGACAGGACACAGAAAAGCAGGCGCTGAAGGAGAAACAACACCATCAGTCACATGCCAGACCCCCCGCATCACAGACAAACGATGCTGCCCCGGCTTCCTCTGGGCTCGCCCAAGACTAGCAGAAGCTGGGGAAGAGAGGTTGCTTTGGAGAAATCCAGAGCACCGGGTGGAGGCTGTGCCCCGGCAGCGTCCTTCAGGCTTCCCATCCCTTACCCGAGGTGACTGGAAGGGTGCAGCCCTTCCCCTCCGACCTGGGCACAGCCCTGGCCCCTTCCCAGTTCCACGGCTGCCAGGCAGCTGCTGGCCACCTCCTGAACAGCACAGCCCAGCTGCTGGCTTGGCTCCAGGTGTGACTCAAGGAGTGAGAATCTTTGCTCGGGACCTGTTTACCCCGACGGAAACACAGCCGCCCCCTCCCCTGCCCCAGGTCTCATCACAGTTGCTGTCGGCACAAGCACCACTGGCCCAGGATGGATGGGGGTGCATGCACTCCCTTTGCCCTTGGAAGCACCAGGGAAGACAGGCAGGCAGGAGACACCTGTCCCTGGCACGAGCCCCCTGGCTCTTGCCAGTTGTGCCAGACGTCAGGCCAGCCAGCCCTCGGTATGTCTCCTGGGATATGGCATCTTTGGCAGCACCAGGCTGGTATGTCAACTCAGGGCAGCCTTGGGGCTACTGGGATTGCCCTGCTCTCCCCAAGGCCTTGATTGCCAGGGAACAGAGACAACAGAGATGCTGGGAACACAGACTGGAGGCCTGGTCCCTTCTCTCTGCAGCACAGCACAGCACAGCACGCCCACTTACCTGCTGAATGAGGCCGCCCCACCCTAGCACCACCCGCACACAGCTGGCAGGGCCAGGCAGGCTTCCAGCCCCATCCTGCAGCAGCTGGCAGTGGTGCTCCAGGGCTTCTGGAGACGCAGGTGCCCCAGAGCAATGGGTGCAGTCCGAGAGCCAGGTACAAGCTGCAGCTCTGCACCAGCGGCGGGTCCCGGGACACTCACCTGCCAAGCAGGCGCAGCTTGCGAGGGCCATACTTGTCCATGACGATCCCCAGGGGCAGCGTGATGGCACTCAGCAAGAAGGACCCCACAGTAAAGGCCAAGTTCAGCATTTCATCCTGCTCCGTGCAGCTCAGCCACCCATTCATCCGGACCACGTGCTCCTGCTTTGTGCCGTTGTGGGGTGCTGAGCCGTTGGTGACGTTCTCTAGATGGGACAAAGAGAAGCAGGGTCAGGAGGCGCGGGGGGAAAGGCAGCGCTGAGATGGGCACCATGCAGGGGGGAGCAGGGCAGCCCACAGGACCCTGTCACACGACTGCAGGTAGACTGTGCTTGCCTCATGTGCCCAGGCTGAAAAGAGGAACAAATTGCACTGGCCCAGAACAGGTGGTCATACGCTGGGCAAGAATAAACATAGGCTGGGAAGGAGGAGGGTTTCAGACCACCTAAGCAGAGAGGTCCCGGAAGAGCCTCCCCGAAGGGGCAGTGGGAGAAGAAACAGAGGAAGCGCTGCTTTCAGGATGGAGCTGGTTCAGGTTACAGAAGGGATGATGCTGACAGCAGGGGCCTGCCCAGGGCATCCCCGCCGGTCCCCCGTGCCAGTTGGTCCAGACCAGGGGCTGCTACACAAGGGCCGGCACAGAAACAAGCAGCGATGTGAGCTACAAGCCATTTGGCAACTGCTGCCTTGGCCACCATGCAGACAAGCCCCTGTCACCTGAAGGGACCTCCCTGCCCTGTGGCAGGGGCCACAGAGCAGCAGCCGGTCTCAATGGATGGCCGAAAAGCCAAATCCCCAACTCGTCCCCATGACAGCTGTCCCCAGCCTGCCCGAGCGCTATCTGCCATCCTCGCTCTTAACCTAGCAGCTGCCTCCTGCTGCCGACACCGCTGCTTACGCTGCACAGACGACCGACCCAGCCACGCTGCCCAAACCATCAGTCCCGTCTCCTTCCATTTCTGCCTTGGGATAAAGGACACCGGGGGCAAACTCCCACGTGACACGCCGCTGGTGTTCACCTCGCTCAGCCCAGTGACTGCAGAGTAAGGGCAGCTGGCATGAGTCCACAGCCAGCCTATTTCCCCGTCCCAGCAGCAGCAGTTTCACTGCCTCTTGTCAGGCTTTTGGGCTCTTGCACAGCCCAGAAAGCTTCAAAGCTCTCAAGCAGAAAGAAAAGTGTTGTGCAGTTTCCATTATACACGAGCTGCTGATGCATGCCTTTTCCCAGGCTTTACTTTCGATTCACGTAGGCTTGCTTGGCCTGATGAGGGACCTGGTCTTTCTACTGCCGGAGCAAACCAGCTCTTTCAAAGGCAGAGCTCAGAATGGAAACAGCCTCGGTTTGCACCAGACTGCCAACCAGCGAGTCTGACAGCAGAAGCATGCCCAGGCTCCCTGTGGGATGAGAAGAGCGCCCCAAGCTGAACATGCTCCAAGCAACACCTCATCGGTGCCAAGGAGAGATGGAACCACCATGCATGCAATGGCCAAGACAGTCACTTGTCTTTGGGCCACATCATGCTAAGGACCAGACAAGTCAGTCCCCATCCCTCTCATCTAGCCCTTCTCTGCAGTCCTGCTGCCGGGCAAAGGCCAGGCAGGGCGAGAGCGCCACCCGCTTCAGCTACAGCTGTGGGTCTTGGCTTAACACTGCGGGGCCGGGCTGGACCGATTCCTCGCATAAACGTGGAGTCTGCCCCCGCTCCAGCTGCCTGGGAAAGGTCAGCGACACTGAAGTCTGTGCACCTGCCTAGCAGCTTTCCAGTGGCCAAGTGCCTGCAGGATGCCCCACATTGGAGAACCCACACCACTGTCATCTGGGTTTCCTTTGTTAATACCCCGCCTAATAGGTCCTGATCGCCTTGGCAAGCAGCCAGCAGGTTGACTTTGTTGTCCCCTCCAGTACCTGGATTGGCCTTTTCCCTGTCCCCTCCACTGCCTCCCCCCACATAGTCACATCCAGGCATTTATTCCTGCAGCCCAAGAGGCCCCCACACTGGGCTGGATGATAGAGGTGAGTCCCCCCCGCTTCACTGGACCACGTCCCTTTCACAAGGGGGTTCCAGCTCCAGCACCAGGGCTCCTGTCTCCTGCCACCCCAGTCCACGGTCCCTTGTAGAAGTCATTTGTAGATGTGAATGAACCCTTGCAAGTCCCCTGTGGCAAGCAAAGGATCAAGGGGTCACTGCAGCAGGAGCATCAGCACTTGGGGGCTATCCACAGAGACGCAGTCTCAGGAAACAGATGTGGGAGAAAGGCTGGACTTGGCCAAACAAGGCAACATTAGACAAAACAGCAGCAAATCCCTGTGTCAGCACTCCAGAGAGAGCTGCAGGGCTCTGCTTGGGCTGGGCTGGGGGGGATAAGGAGGCTCAGCAACAGCAGCCTTGTCCTTCTGGCGCACACATCAAGCAGAGGGGCAGCCCCCCTCAGGAAGGGGCTGAAAGAAGAGCAGGCCACAGGCCAGGCCCGAATCGCCCTTTAGCACGGGCATGCGGGTTACACGGGCTGGACAAGCAGAGAGAGCAGCGCGTGGGGCAGAAGCAAAGGTGGGGAGGCTACATGGGGTTCAGACTTGGGAACGAAACTGGTGCAGGGAGACGGTCCCCCACCGTGGGGCTGACGGGGCACTCGGCAGAGCCCTGGGCACGGAGCTGCAGTGGCCCTGCAAGTCATCTGCTCGCAGGCGATTCCCAACCCCGAGGAGCCGCCCACGTGCAGCGCTGGGGAGGCAAAACACCATGCCAGAGAAAGCAGAGGTTGCCCTGAGGCACCAGGGAGGATCCAGCAGCAGGTGGCGGAGGCGGCTGGGCCAGGGCCCTGCCCCTTGCTGCTAGGCTGCGGCCGCGTATGTGGGGCACGCGTATGTGGGGCAGGGCAGGGCAGCCCGCAAGTGCAGCTGGGAGCAGCGGCTGGTGATGAGGCCGGTGCGCGGCTGAGTCACTCACAGCAGGTGGAACCAGTGCGGTCACTGGACGGCAGCTGGGAGACGGACATGAGCAGAACCAGCCTGGCCACCTGCCCACGCGGTACCTGGGCACAGCACGCGGGATAGCTCCTGCCCACCCAAACTGAGCCCACGGCAGGCTGGCTCTGCTCATGTCAAGGCATGGGCTGGGCCTCCTGCTGGCAGCTCACCCAGGCTGCATCCTCCCAGCTGAGGACTCAGCCAGGGGCCCCATGGCCATGGCCTGTGGTTTGGCACTGAATGAGCCAGCCAGCCGCAGCCAGCGTTTTCCTTCCATTTCCTGCTATCATAGACCCGTAGGGCTCCCGGCGGCTGCCTAGCTCCTTGCTGCCCCACTGCAGCATGCCACCCGGGCTGTCTGGCTCACTGCCTGTTCCTCTCTGCTCTTCACATGCATGCTGCCAAGTTCAAGGACTTTATGACCTGCCTTGGAGAGGCCTTGACCTTGAGCCTGCCGACCTTGTCAGCAGCAGGAGCTCCCCGCCTCTCCCCGTCGGGTTCCAGTGCCCCAGAAGTGGCTGATAAGGGCTGCGTGCCCAGATAACACGTGCGGAATCAGCACTCGCTCGGAGCAGCAGATACTGGTTCAACAGGTCGAAGGGCAACTAATACTACAATTAAAGATGGGAGCAAAGGGCAGCACTCAGACTCCTACGCATGGCACTTCCCAGAGCACGGGCTGAAGAGGCACCCAGCCAGGACAGGGTCCTTGGCACAGACCCTGCTGCAGTGCTCACGTCACCCACCACTGCCCCCCTGACGCTCCAGTTCCCCCAGACGCCCAGCACTGCCCTCACTGGCAGCACGGCTGGGCAGAGCCCAGGCCGCACCCACCCCTTCTGGACCACAGCCCAGATGTTGAAACCTCCAGCAAGAAGGCAGCAGCGGGGGCAAGGTCTGAAGGTACCATGGCAAGGAACAAGCTTTTGCTGATGAAGGGGAAAGCCCAGCCCGTAGCTCTGAGCTCATTAAGAAATGTTCATCTGTGATCGGCACAAACTAGTGGCAAATGCTCAAAGGTCATGGCCTAGGTTTATTGCTCCCACAATCTCCATTCCTCCCTGGCTGCTCGCTGTCCTGGGAAGGGCAACGTGCTCCCGTCGTCAAGGGGCTCCGCCTGTACCACGGTCCCCAGGTCAATGGACAGGTGCCCAAGGTGGCTCTTATGACTCCCCCCGTGCTGTGGCAGTGCTAGGGAAACTGCAGAGGAGGCAGAGAGTGGCCAGAAGCTTGCCTGCATTTTGGAGACCCCCACCCACCTTCAGTGTTCGTTTGCCGCCAGGACATATCTGAGTAGGTGCAAATAAAGAGTGGGGGCTGAGGAAGCAGCAGGGTCTGCCCCAGGCCGCGCAAAGGGGCAGCCTCAAAAGCAGAGAGAACGTGCAGCATCACCTGCCCGGCTCCTCCGGCTCTCACCACCCTGGCACCCTTTGAGCCGAGCAGGACTCAAGTCGTCCTGCCCCGAGCAGAAGAGAAGAGCCCGAGTCAAAGACTGACTCAGCGTCCAAAGTGCATCCCCTAGGCAGGCAAAACGCTCGTCCAGGAGCTCCGTCCCCCTGCGCGGCAGCCTTGCCTAGCCAGCAGCTTCTGCTGAGCTCTCAAAACCTCGCGTCTTCACAGCTCTTAGGGAAGAGGCTCCACAGTGCACAAGTCCCCAGGCGGAAGCCACCCCCCGGCCCCGCTCGGGTGCAAGGAGGAGTGAACAGGTTCGTTCCACCTGGGTCTGCTGAGGCTCAGCTGACCAGCAAGCAAGCCAAGCAGCGCTGGCAGTGCCAGCTGTCAGGCTTCCCCATGGCCCCAGCATGGGCCTTCCTCAAATAATTAACTGGGCCCCTTCCACAAGGCTTGGAACCAGTTTCACATTCTTCGTCCAAGTGCTGTGCAAATAGCAGTTAGCTCTTTAGCCCCCACGCGGCGGGCAGCGCCAGGGAAGACAGGGGAGGCCTTGACTACGTCACCTCGGGAAGGGAGACGAGACCACCGAGCCCACCGCAGAACAGGGCCCCTTCAGCACGGCACCCACGCGTCGCAGCCCGAGAGCTGCACAACACCGGCCCCGAGAGTCCCCGGATAGAAAGGGGCAGAGGGCGTCCAGGGCAGGAGCAGACGCAGGAGAGGAGCAACAAGCCCCAGAGCAACGGGCTGGACCCCGGTGTGGCGCGTTTGGGTCCCCGCTGCAGGGGTGATGCCGGGAGGCCCCGATCTCTGCCAGCCTCCCCCACCCCCAGCCCCGCTCGCACCCCAGCAAGCCTCCTCCTACCCCCGGCTAGGGAGCGT